ACAAGCAAGGGACCTCCAATTTGATGCTTTCCGGACCGAACAACAATCGGCATTCCAAAGGATAGAGGAGCAAAGGGCGGCCGACATGCAACGGTATGAAGAGGACTACCGGAGGATGTATGGGCCTACCTACTCATACATGTCCAACATTGGCGGATTTGCATCTATGTCCTCACCACCACCGGCACCTTCGTGGTATAACCCCTCCGATTGGGGTAATTTTGGCGGCTCTACTTCCGGCGGTGGTGGCTATGATGGCGGGGACACTACCATGGGAGAGGGAGGCGATGATGAAATGCACGGCGGCGGCTTTGGAGGAGGCTATTACGGTGGAGAAGGCGGGCACCAGGGATAGTGCCATGATTCAAGTGTGGGGGAGGGAAATCCATTTCTTGGTATGTACACTCCCTTTGTTTTGATTTTACCTTGTACTAAGCATTATTTTCTTGTTTATTCAAAAAAAAAAAAAATATAAAAAAAAAAAAAAAATAAATAAAAGAAATGAAATGCTAGTTAGGTTGAAAACCCAAAAAGGGCAATCTAAGCAACAAAGGGCTTACAAAAAAATGAGTGAGTGGTAAGAAAAGGAAAAGAAAAGAGATGCTAGGATGAAAACCTGAAAAGGCTCCTAGGCAAAATGAGAGATATGAGAGAAGCATTTGCGTTTTTGCAGGGCACTATCCCTTGGGGAGGAAGAAGAAAGGAAGAAGAAGAAGTGAGGAGCATAGAAGACCATTAAACCCAAGGAAAAATTTGTTTTGTAACTTCATTTACAATGCTTGGTGGTTTTAGTTCCTTATTTCTTCTTATCTATGAACTCATGGTCTGTTGATGGACATTATGTAAGCATTTGGTTTTACTCGAGGACGAGTAAATAAACTAAGTGTGGGGGAGTTGACATTCGTGTAATTTCCATATTTAAATTTGTACTTTTAATTAGTTTCGAGTGATTGTTACTTTGGAAATTACACACTTTTGGTGTAAATAGTTTAGTTTGTAAAATATTTGTAATATGTTTAGATTAGGTTTATTCTGAGCTCAAACAGGTCCAAATACACTTTGGAGAACATCACCAGTGGAAGGAAGGTGCAAGAATGCAAGAAAAAGATTGAAGATCTCGTTTTTGGTCTGTACCCGATCGGGTATGACCTATACCCGGTCGGGTACCCTTCTGAAATTTCGAATCAAATCAAATCCGGGAACAAGGCATCATGCGTGAAGATTTTAACACGTTCGGGTGTCCATACCCGATCGGGTGACCGACAGACCCGATCGGGTATGACCCCATTTTTCAGCTTCGCCGAAGCCACATATGGTACCCGATCGAGTGGGCTGAAAACCCGATCGGGTACACGACCCTGCAAGCCTAAAAAGCCTATAAATACACCCCATTTCCTCCACAAGAAGATCACCAATTCACATATACTTCTTAGCTCAGTTTAGACAAGTTCTTTCTTTATATTTTTCATCATGTTTAGTCTCCAAATGAGGAGCTAAACTCTTCCATCTTGGTTTTGCTACTTTGAAGCTTAATGAATTTGTAAGTTGTGAGTTATTATCTTTAATCTTCTTCCTTGAATATTAATTCTTTCTTTAAATACTATTTCTATATCAATGTTGGGGAGTGTTACTAAGATGACAATTAGTTAACATCTTGATATTAACTATAGTAGGATTCATCTTCTTTAATATTCTTCCTTGAGTATTAATTAATTCCTATTCATATTTCATATTAATATTTTGAACATTACTTAAAGGATCAACTAGTTTTGTTTCATATATTAATTATTACTAGAATCGGTCGATTAATACGCTTGTTATTAATTCGGTCCTTTCGCGGTAGTAAACTTGGGTTATTAATGCATGCGTTTCATGGTTAATAAACCAAGGGGAATTAATTATATTGATTAAACCAATAAACCGCTTATGTTGAGGTTATCAATCTCAATCGTTTTCATCTTGATTTTATTGCTACTATCGAGTGAATATACGGCGCGTGTTCTATATTAACTCGGTAGTAAGTTTTATTAATGAACGCGTCTCGTTATTAATAACTACCCTCGATGAATTGGATATACTCCTCGATTGAGTATTCGAGAGGAAGATAGTTAAAGATATAACCGGGATCGACGAACATTTCATTAAGTGGATAAAAGCAAAGCCAAGTCTTCTTCTCATTAATTAAACCACATAACTCGTTCATCTTCGTATTTAAATATAATTTAAAGTTCATCAACCAAATATAAACCCCCCTTATTGTTACTTATCTATTTCTGTAAGAAGAAAAGTATTCCTTTCCCTGTGGATACGAACCTTACTACACTATACTACGTATTAGTGTCGTATTGTATTATTACTTTGAGTGCACCTCACGACAAAGTGCACGTCATGGAGCATGTTTTTGGTATGATGAAAGATTGAGGTCAGCTTATAAATCGAAAAATCTTGTGGAGCATGTTTTTGGTTGTGTGCATGGAAAAATAAAATTGCCACCTATGAAGGCTCCTCCTCAAGTACTCCTTGATCTTATATTTGGGGATGATGAAAAGAGCAAGCATTTCTTACGAAACATACGATCATACAATAGTATGTTTTCATTCACATCAATGGGAGAAAAAATTGATGTTAGTCACAACACCGGTTATTCTCCGCCAATTTTCAAACTTTATGGTCAAAATTACCATTTGATTGGAAGTTTAATGCCCGAGGAGAATGGGGTGCCTTAATTTGCACAAATGTACACTTACGATACTGCAAATGAGGTGGTGAATCGTATCAAATATGTGAGGTTAGTGTTTCCCCGGTTATTATTAAGCATGTAATACTCTTTCTACATATTTCTATGAATGAATGCGCTCAAGATTTAAGATATATAATATGCTGTACTTATTATAGGAACGAAGATGTACTTATTGACTCCCTACACACCAACATTGGTGTGTAGGGAGTCAAATATTCCATGTTCCCATTACATTCCATCTACTTCAAATATTAGGAACTATGTGATTTGAAGCAAATGTTGGATGAGAATAATGTGTTTGTGAAGTCTTTTAGAATGGTTGGTGAGAAAGTTAACGAGGGGGAGCTAAACATTCGTTTGAAACTCATTGGAAAACGGGGGTTTGATGCTAGAACGTATAACCTTCCTTTAACATCTGAGGTGGCTGCGTTAATTGTTGGTGACTTTGATGAAACATTAGGCGAGAGGGATATTGTGCTACAGTCTCACTCTGTATCTTTGCAACGCATCAATGAACTACATCCAGGATATCTTCCTTTACAATATCCTCTTTTGTTTCCTTATGGAGAAGATGGATTGTACGAGGTGCTAGAGTCCGTGAAAGTTTTCCTAGTAATTTTTATCTGTTTGTCATTTGTTTTCTTGTGTTCATCTTTGTTGTTTGTTTTGACAATTTGTTTGAGTTTTTAGCCTCTTTTTATGTCATTGGGTATGGTTGGATCTATGGGAACATGTTTGGCTGTGTCAAGCCCACTACATGGTTAGCGATTCGTGTTGCTCTTTCAGGGGTGACCGTCTCAAAGTCTCACCATAGGGTTACAACCGTAGTTGTTGGAGTTTGAGTTGATGTCAGTTTTATTTTCTCTTTGCTTGATGTAATGATCCTGAATCTTTTGATATGAATAAATACTTGTTTTGATGATAAAAAAAACTAGAATATGTGAATAGTGCAAAAAGTGTTGGAAAAATGTGTTAAAATTGTATTAAATGGTAATTTTGGGGCAATTTTTTGAGTGGGGTCCACTTCTGATTTGGGTCGGTTCAAAGTGGTTTCGGATTTTCCTTGTTAAGGGCTACGATTCGATATATGGCACGCTCAAAACGGATAACGGGTGAATGAAATTGATTCTCGAAGTTTACCCGTTAGAATGGAAAAACTTGGAAAAAGAATGAGTTTCTAGTGTGTTATTTCCCACACCGGAAAACCCAAGGGATTTGCAACCCTTTATAAAGGGACCCCCCCCCCCCCGTATGGAGTTAAGATTCCTAAGGGTAAAGGCTCTCTCCACGCGCGCAGGGGGGGTGCAAATCAAATCCCGAAATCGGAGAAGAAAAACCGCGACTTGCGTGCGCGGGCAACCTGCGGACACGAATGTCGTCCAGTGCTAGAAGTGCCTAGCGAACAGAAGGCCTCGACCAGAACAACTTGGTATGGTGTTCTGTTGGCTTCGGACAGAACCCCTCGTAGGGTGTTCTGTTGGGAGGTCTTCTGGTCGCGCTCTGAACCGTTACAGCATTGAATGCACTACTAGAAAAATGCCTTATAGTGACACCAAATTAGTGTCACTAAAAGCTTCTGTGACACTAAAAAAGTGTCGCTGAAAGTCGGGAATAGTGACACTAAAAAAGTGTCACTAAAAGTGTCACTAAATTATGACACTATAGTATCACCAAATTACGACACTAAGGTATCACAAAACTCAATGACACTACAGTATCACAAAACGCAATGACACTACGGTATCACAACACTCTATGACACTATGATATCACAAAGACATACACATAGACGTGTATGTATATATATATATATATATATATATATATAGACAAAAGTTCATGTCCGGAATTCCGGACAGGAACCGCCGTCCGGACGGCGGCGTTTGGCCGCCTTCCCGGTGGAATTTTTTGATGAAATTTTTATGGAATGTTCTCCATCAAGTCTAGTTTATCCACAAAAAAATTCAGCCAAAAACTCAATCGGGAAGGTCGTCAAATGATTTTTGCAAGTTAACTGGTTCGGAATATGTATTTTCCGGACCAGTTAACTTGCAAAAATCATTTGATGACCTTCCCGAATGAGTTTTTGGCTGAATTTTTTTGTAGATAAACTAGACTTGATGGAGAACATGTCATAAAAATTTCATTGAAAAATTCCACCCGGAAGGCGGCCAAACGCCGCCGTCCGGACGGCGGTTCCGGTCAGGAATTCCTGACCGGAAGAGTACTCTATATATATATATATATAATTCAATACTAATAATAACCAAAATTTCAAACATTTTTATTTATATCTCAAATTCTCACATAAATGTGGATGTACATACTACATAATTCATAGGAGCATACCCAGAAACAACAATAAGTAATACTTCGTAAGAAAGAACAAAACGGTAACAAGTTAAACTTTTACACCACACTTTATAGTGCCTTCACATTTTTCTTCTGCGTAGATATCACATTTTCTACATCACTCCTTGTACTCCCAAACTACGAAGATATCACATCTTTCTGAGTTACTCACCATAAAACAAGGTCTCACTACAGTAGCTATATCTCCCAAACTAGAAAAAAAAATCAAATATGACAGTTGGTTTTGAAGAATTAAATTTCCCGGAGGTGCTGTCCAAATATCAGCTAAATTGGTGCATGTTTGACCTTGATCGAAGCACTTGATGAAGTGTACGCTGCAGAAAAGTGCCCAAAACTGCACTTAAAATACGCTTGATATCTAGCAGTAGTGTGTTTTCTTGGCCTTCTAAATTTTCTCAATGTTCTTTGAAAAGCTGAGAGCAAAAGAGTTTTTTGAGAAGTCCAAAATAAATGGGTCACAAGCCATGTATAAAAGCAGTTACATAATCAATACTAAAAAAATACAATGGATCAGAATACAACTATCTTCAATGACATGAGAGGACCGCCTATTATTGAAGTTAGAGAACAAAGAATACGACAGAAAAAATAGTACAAAGGACCACCTGGTAGTAAACACCGACGGTATATTGAGGAAGTGAACCTCAAATGAACTATTAAAAAAATAGATAAAAGCCTCATCTTGCACAATCTGCACCAAATTAAAGGACAGAAAAAGAAAAAGAAATTAATTACATTTGCTATACATTTATGTGGAAGAAACCGATCATCTATGTCCGCTAATGTAAGGCCATAAGGAGTTTGTTCTATCTTTTGGACATAAGCTAAGGATAACCATCTACCTTTGTCATTGGGTCTCCTCCTGACGATCCATTGGGAACTACCCTATCAATCACAAATAATATACAAAAAGTTCATTTCATATCATAACATGTACAATTCAGGGTGAGTTGTTATCTGCTTTTCATTTTTCACTTAGAAAATTAAGCATAAACGAATATTATGTACTTAAATATTCAGACCGATTGATACCTGCTAAAAGCTTACTAAGGCCTTTTGCACAAATGAAATCAAATGAACAAATTCATAATAAAAATAGATCAATAAAGGCATGTTCTACATCAACTTATGTACTAATAAATCCTCTTCTAGAGAGTACTTAGACCCTTAACATAGTCAAGAAATTAAAGCATTAAATTACATGAAAATTGAATTTACAAGACTATGATAACAATAGTTAAATAATTCATCCCAAGTTTAATTATCATTTTATCATGAATTTAAGGGAGAAATTAGAAGTACACCTTTCCGACAAGGCATGTCAAAGAGATGACTTCAAAAACAGGGCCAACTTCAAATCTTTATAGAGAAGTCTCATGTGTACAAAGCTGCAATAAGAAAGCTTTAGTGATTTTGTATCCCAAATCTGGAATCTCACTCTACAAGGTTGGGAATGAAATAATGAATACTTGCTCACTTTATTCATTCGTTTCCTTCCATATAGGCCAAAAAAATGAATATCAGACTTTGAACCTTATCATCAACAACACTTGGAATAAGTAGCTTGTTGTTGTGTAGCCTAGCAAAGTGAGTCTTATCTAATTTTGCCAATAAAAATACTTATTATTGAGAAGCTTTAATCAACCCCTGCATTTCTATCATCATCGCCTACATCTTCTTGACTTTCATTTCATCAAATTTAATCTTAAACGAACAATAAAAAATACTCCGTATCTATTATTCAGAAGCTTTAATCAACCCCTTCATTTCTATTATTCTTGACTTTCAGAAGCTTTAATCAACCATATTACATCATAAGGTTGTTAGCTATTAGGGTTGAGTTTTGTTAGCTACAAACAACAGATAGCAAGAGTGGAAACTCCTTTGCCTTCTGTGAGAAGTGTTGGGCTCGGCTTTGGAGTACAAGCTCGTAGAGGGGCTTACCTTTCAGCAAAGCAGAAGATTGTTAGCTCCTCTGTCATGGGACTCCACTCTTTCATACCCCCTCCTTCTAATTCTCCTGACCAGAATCCTTGTTTGTGGCAAAAACCAGATACAGAAACTTCTATGCCCATTCAGTATAAGGCTCAACTGAAAACACAAAATCGACTGCACTAATCACATAAAAAAATTAAAATATAATATAATTAACAATGACTCATATTCTCTGGACATATACACTTACTGGTTACTGGTGATCATTGAAATTAATCAAAGTGACACACAACAAATATCCATACTTCCCAGAATAAGTGAACTGAGCCGCTAAAGAAGCCACATCTAAGTAGAACCTTTAATATAAATGTATAATATCAAAATTGAAAATTAACATGTTATGGTTCGATGGAAAAAACCTAAACATTCACCAATATCAGATAATTAAAACATAATTATGAAGATATATGTGTATATATGTGTGTCTTGAGTGAAGCAATCATATTAGAGAGAAGTACTCGTAAGAGATGAACTATTGAGAAGATGACTTCAGCGATGAAGGTGTATCGGAACAAACCACTGTCTTTGTCTGAGTGGGGACCGTCTGAATTTCACAGAGAGGATGCGACTCTAGCGCTAACAATGGTGTTGGTCCGATGGGACTATCGGCAGTGGGTTGGGGTGTTTGGCATGAGCTCTTCCGAATCTTCGATAATCATCAAATGGAGAGAATCACCCCGGAGAACCCGTGGTTACATCGAAGTCGGCGACACTAGTTCAAATTATACGATAGAAGGATGGTTGAAGGAGGAGATGAAGGACAAATTACACACACAAAATGAATGAAAATAGCTCAAGATCGAAAAAGACCTGCAAGGAGATCGATGTAGTCATGCGGCTAGGCCAAGAAAGCGCGCTCCTGAAGAAGAGTTAGGGTTCGCAGTATGAAAGAGTATGGTTAAGGGGAGGGCGGAGGTTTAGTTGACGTTATGAAAGTTGAAGTGTTAGGAAATGATCCCTAAGCCCGGCCCAAAATAGAATAATTTAGAAAAGGGTGACACTTTTGTGTCATTAATGACATTTTATCAGAAAGTGTCACTAAAAGAGTGTCACTGTAAGCCAGTTTTCTAGTAGTGATATGCCCAACGTTCTTATTTTTTAATGCAGCGTCAAATGGAAAGTTCATGGGCGATTCAATGCCCAACGGACTGGTCATTGATGTCCAACGTTCAGGTCCATTAATTCACCATTTACACACAACAAATCCTCCTATATAAGGGCTGGCAGGTGGTTTGCAACAACACACGTTGATACACATTCCTCAAGTATTTCTGAGCTCTAAAACACCTCCAGCATTCCGAAAATTTCATAAGTGTTCATACTGTGTTCTCATTCCCTGGAACTCTTGTTTGTGTGCTCAAACATTAGTTTGTAGTCATCGTATCATGGGAAATGATTGTTGCAACGCTCCTAGCACCGTGGGAGACAACAAATACGTTTTAAGGACATCGTGCGTAGCACGAGCTTTGGCTAAATTTTGCTCCATCTCATTTCTTGTTTTTCTTTAGTCATTTTAATTAATTTATTTTAATTAATTTTCTTTATTTTCCTAAACACACCCAACAAAAAGTCCAATCTATATAATTTAATAAAGGAGACCCTTGGAAGAAGCCTATCAAGGAATTTTGACATGTGGCAGCCCCTTTGCAAGAACAATTGACATGTGGCATCCTAATGATCCCATAGGTCTCTAACATTTATAAGCAATTAAACACAAACAAAAATCCGTTGATCTCCCAAAACTCATTCACTAAGTATTGGCACATCTACATTGACATACGTTAAAATTTCAGGCTGTAATTGTACCATACTACCATTATACATCTATATATGCATTTAAAATTATGAAAAAATCTTGGAAGATGCCAATGAAGGAAATCTATATCTATCTATATACTAATATAATAAAGCAAATCTTGGTAAACCCCTATGGAAAAATTGTTCGCATGTGAGAACACTCTTTATCTTACTGATATTTTCCAAACTGCTCCGATCTTTGTAAGTAATAGTCGGAAGATTAAAATTTGGGAGAATATCACCCAAATTATACATATAAGAAACTAAAATACTAAGCACACAATACTTGATAAGTTTAATTTAAAATATTATTAATTCATTGGTATACTAAATTTTGTAACTATTATATTATTGTACTACCTCCGTCTCACTAATATTCGGACATGAGGTGGTGACACGATGATTAAGAAAAATGAGTTTATGTGGTTGACATTGAATTGATAAAATATATATAAAGTAAGAATGATTTAAAACTACAAAAACTTTGGATAATTTTGTACTCGGTATGAGAAAGTGTTAGAGGGACAGATCGCAAGGAAAAGATAAGAGAACCTTAGCGGGACGAAGGGAGTATCTATAAAAAACACTCATTGTACAAAAAAAGACGCAATTTACATCTTTTGATTAAACATTTGTAAACAATGATTATTAATTGTTAAGAAATTATTTTCAACGATAACATAAAATATTCTAGAGTAATTTATTTGAATAATTATTATATATAGAAATAATAGTCCAACAAGGGTTGTAAAATAACAAGTATATTTCAAAATAATTTTGGTAGTAAACCATCAATATTGAAAACAAAAAAAGTAAAAAATAGATGTTTATATTTTGGGTCACTCACAACCTGCATGGGTCAACTCATTTAACATGCAACCTGTGCAAGTTGACCACGAAACCGGTGAGTTCATTGGGTAAAAAACGACAACTCTTACTCATCATGAAATGGGATGAAATAGGCTAGCCCTAGAGACTCTGACTCATTTCGACAGCTCTATCCACAGTCGAGTGAATTTTCTTATAAACCGTGATTGACGAATTCACATACAATTCATTTCTCTTACAATTTTAATAAAAACTTAAAGCACAATTGTAAAAGGGCTAAAAGTGGAAAAATAAAAGTGAAATACCAAAACGGTCATTGACATAATAGTCGGAAGACTAAAAGTTGGGAGAATTCTAACATACACATATTTGAACTATCATAACAATTAATACCAAACTTAAACAAATCATATTTGACCACACTTAAACAGAGCTAATCACAATACAAATGTTCATTCCAAAACTAATTTATAGTAATTTATTTGAATAATTATTAATATATAGAAATAATAGTTCAACAAGGGTTGTAAAATAATAGGTATATTTGAAAATAATTTGGTAGTAAACCATCAATATTGAAGCAAAAAAAAAAACAAAAAAAAACATATGTTTATATTTTGGTTTACTCACAACCTGCATGAGTCAACTCACTTAACATGCAACCCGTGCAAGTTGACTCACGAAACCAGTGAATTCATTGGGTAAAAAAATGACAACTCTTACCCACTATGAAATGGGATGAAATGGGCCAACCCTAGGGTTTTTGACTCATTTTGGCAAATCTATTTACAATCAAGTGAATTTTCTTTTAAACTTTGATTGACAAATTCACATACAATTCATTTCTCTTACAATTTTAATATAAACTTTAAGTGCATATTTTGCCGTGCGGTGCACGGGTACACATACTAGTGTTACAAATAAAAGAGAACGGAGATAGTACTGTTTTAAGCAAGTACTTTTTATTGTCCCAAAAAATTTGTCAGTTTCATTTTAATTAATTAATTTACGGTTCCTATCATTTCTTTCTCTTATTCACAAATCTTGATAAATTTCCCATGCCGATCAACTTAGATAAATTTTGAAAGACGAAGGGCGTGACTTTGAAAGAATTCGAATATATTAAATGCATCAACTTTGGTTGTAATTTTAGCGTAAATAACATTCGAGAGCCGTTTAGAATACCCCGGCCCTTATTTTTCTCTAACCATCTCGGCAATATGATTTCTCGAGGGCATTGGCTTAATGGAAAATCCTGATTTTGCCCTTGTGGGAAGTGAAACTGTACATTGCATAAGGAGTAAAAGTGCTTTAAATTTCAATGTACCAGATAACGTTTTCGAAGGGCCCATAGTAATGATAGATTTTTAGTGAGTATCCCCTCAAAATCAAAACTAGCATTTATTTGTTGGTTGACTGACACAATTATGTTATGTCATTTAGATTGTGCTTAAGATTTGTTTTTTTACTTTCTTTATATTGTATTTGAAAGATGCTAATATTCACATATTCACTGTTTTAGTTCATCATTTCTTTGGTTGAAGCAGCAAATATGACAACAATAAAGCTGAGTGTCTCATATTACCGTACCGTTGATGTAAAAAATGTTAAGTAGTGTTTTTTACACAAGTACCGGGTGCTATGACTATTGAATTAGATATGGCATCTTTTTCCGGTAACCCGTGCTCTTTAGATGTCACATAGCAGAAGCGGCACCATTAAATACTTTTCTTACATTCTACATAGTATAATAAAACTAAAACAATAAAATATCTTTTATATGGGTAAAAATAAGATTGCATGTCAAAATTTGCTAAATACATATTTGTCTTGATGCTATCTCAAATTTGTGTTCACCTTTATAATTGGAATCAATTTTTTATCTGATCTATGAAAGTAAAAGTTATTTATTACTTTAGTTTATATATTAAATTTTAATATAAATCTTGATAAATTTTTGCTGAGAGTTTTAGATTTCCAAAAAATTTATTAAATACACACATAGCAATCATATTGTGATACTAAAAGTGGTGTTTAAGAACTAGACTAATAAGTTAGTTTTTTTTTTTTTGAGAAATAATAAGCTAGGTTGTTAATAAAGGATAATCTTTTACTCATGGATGTAACTTTCATATAGCAATATTTGGCCATATATAGATTTGAGATCATTTTTCGTTTCTAAATATGGGGCATCTTTATTTTTTATTTTTATTGCATAGTTTGACATATTTATCTTTCGATTATTACCTACCACTTGACATGAGAATTTGTTTATAGATTTAATTTTGTTGACATTCTAGGTAAAAATTGCCTACTAAAAATCTAAAATATGCAACATTTTTTCGTTCAATAACACTTATTTTAAATCAATCTAATGAAAGGAAAATAGACCGGTACCAATCACGTTATGCAGCCAGCCTGTTGTCCCCATCATCACCTTCATTAAAATCAGAATGTTACGAAACTATAAATTGTAAACTCTTTTTTTAAAAGAAGGAGGTAGAAGGATAATTACTCAATTCTAAATCATCGACGGGTTAATATCTTCAAACAAAATGACCACGTCCATTATTAAATAAATAAATTACACAAATGTGTAGTTATTAGTTCCGAAAAAACAGTAAGCTAATGATGAAATCGAATAGATAAAAGTAGGCATGCATTGAGATATTTTTTTGTTTAGATAAGGGAAAACTATCAGATAAGCCCCCGTACTATACTGAAAAAGTCAATTAGGCCCTCGTACTTTACAAACACTCAATTAAGTCCTCGAACTATTGAAAAACGTTCAATTAAACCCTTTCGGTCGGTAAGTCACCAGTTTCTCGGTTAAACAGCGACGACAGCGACGATGTGCTCGAACCCCAGCGACGACAACGACGATGTGCTCGAACCCCAGCAACGGCGGTTGCCGGGAAACGGGTTACATTTAACCGGGAAACCGGTGACTTACCGACCGAAAGGGCTTAATTGAATGTTTTTTAATAGTTCGAGGACTTAATTGAGTGTTTGTAAAGTATGAGGGCCTAATCGACTTTTTCGGCATATTACGGGGGCTTATTTGATAGTTTTCCCTTTAGATAAAGATGGTTGAAAAACGAAGTTCATTTGGATGCAACTGAGAGTTATAAATAATATGCTCTTCTAATTAGAAAAAATATAAACTTAGAACATGTTTAGATAATTAATTAAGAAATAATATATACTCAATAATTAAGAATATACATTATAAACCAATGTTAGAATCGACTGAATAGGTGACATTCCGTTACTTATAAACTTATAATAGCTCATACATATGTCAGTGCACGACACACATATAT